AGTCTACCATCATGTCCTCACATATTTGACACCATCTGGCATTGAGGTGATGCGTCACTTTCGGCAATGACTTAACAATATTGGCAATTTTATCACCACACCCAATGACCCAATGCTCTATTATATATCCGACACCACACTCAAAGTAGAGGGATGACACGTTACTTCTAGGCAGTGACCTAGTTGTATCACAAGATTACTGCATCGCTAAAATTTCACTTGCAATTTGATACTAACTTTGCCCCATATTGGTTGTCCTGTTTTAATTTGGCACAATTATTAATAAAATGTTTGAAAAATAAAAGTTATGATTGAAACTTGAGTAGGATAAAGTGAAATGTTAAGAATCACATATTTCTTGCTAAAAGGGAAATATAATACTCATTTTGGAACAATTCAAAAAGAAAGCAAGACAACCAAAATGGGACGGAGGGAGTAAAAGATTAGAAGCAATTTTTTGTTTGTTTTTGATTAGAAGCAATATCAAAAACCAAATTCGCTTTGACGGAGGGAGTAAAAGATTAGAAGCAATTTTTTGTTTTGTTTTTGATTAGAAGCGATATCAAAAACCAAATTCGCTTTCCATTAGATGGTGCCAAATTTGATGAAGCATTTGGAAACACAAAAAAAGACGTTGGTTCTTTCCATGGATGATTTCTTCCAATAATTCCAATCCCAAGCTTTAAAACAGAAATCGTGCAAGTACTTTTATGTTTACTAGGTAAAGTTGTAGACTTCTAGCACAACAAAGAGGAAGTGCATACTTTATTTGATACACATTTTGTTTATTTTGATGAAATATACTAATTTTTTTTGAATGAAACCGGCTTAACTTATCATTACCAAACGGACCAAACCAAAACAGGTTACAAAGTGACAACAAGTCTCCTGTCTACCGTCCGCCTAAGGAACAGACTTTGAATTAATTACCTCCGTAGAAGCCATATAATTCGCTGATCCCGCTTTGGGCTTACCTGAGCCTATAACTTGCATGATGAAATATACTAATGAAAAGTATATATGTAACCATCTCCTGATTCTTCCCTCCCTTCCCCCTCTCTCTATATACTAGTATTGAACCCGTGCGATGCACGGGACAAACGTATTCTTGTACCACTACAAATTAAAAGGTCAATATAAGAATGCACCATTAAGGAATGCACAATTACATATGGAGGACCACACCACATCAAGAATATCAAGGTCTTCTAACTCAGATTTCATTTTGCCTAAATGTTTTGGTTAATTGTTCATTTGCAAGCTTCACTATCCCATCAATTATTCTGTTATTCCTAATTTAATGATATTGAAACAATAACAAGACCAAAAAGAGCACTAAATCTTCTTTTAGTCAGGGGAAATCCAAACAACAATAGAAAAGTGTACACAAATAGAAGGGCATTAAACAGATTGCATATAGGATATTACCTACTTTGCAGTTAATGAAGTTCTATAGTAACTCATGCCTCCATTATTTGTAACAAACTTAAACTCATGGCAAAAACATTGTCACCATTGTTCATTTTGAAACTTATACATAGTATATGAATCCGCATGCATATAAAATTTTGTGTTTGTGAAATTTGGGCACATATAGGTTGATGTAATTAAGAACTTTACTTAAATAAAAATAATTTTCATGAATTTATGTGTTAATCAGATTTCATAAATATTTTTTCTTTAATTAAAATCTGAACACCTTAGTTAATAATTTCTGTGTTAATCAGATTTCGTAAGTATATTTTTTACTATATCAAATTTACTTTTATATGTGGTAATTATAATTCTGATCAATAAGCTTAATTGGTAATAAATGAATTCTAGATCTATAAACTTCATTGACAACAATCCATCCAATAACATTTGACTCTATTTATCTCAATTGAAAAGTAGAATGAAATCAATGAATATAATATACTACGTATATGTAGTACTTTTACTTGTCAAAATCAATAGTTTACTTATCAAAACCAATAGATTTCTGAATTAAGTTTACAACCAAAAAGCTTAAATGTGATTGCATTATTGCCAATTCAGTTTACTAATCTAAAATTTCAGTGTGTTTGGATTTTTCTACTTGGTGTATATAAAAAGACTTAAATTAAATTACCTCTTGATAAAAATTATAACATGATACTCTGGGATTAATAAGTGGACTATACGAAGTATATAAGTGGATGCACAAGTGGGAAAATCTGCCAGTAGATCTTCCGCTAAAATTTTTTTCTACCGATAATCTCCCATTCTCCACAACTTTCCACTTGTGGAGAAGATGTATTGGTATGAGAAGTTGTACTGCTTCGTGTATCAATTATCCGTGGCGATTAAAAAATTGAAGATCACGTCCATTAATATTTTCTATAAGATCACGTCCATTAATAAAATTCCCAAGGACGCGAACAGTTGTTGCCTCCACGTTGTCCGATCGTTAGTTTGAGACAAGCCCTGGTTTCCCTTTTTATATTAGTATAGATATGCCTCCTCCAAACTCTTATTTCTCCACTAAAATGTGTCATACGAGATTATGTGAACGAAGATTGTTTAAACTAAGATATTGTGTATTAACAAGTGAACAAGAATAAAAGAGGGCAAGGTTCTTCACATATAATCTACATATATATATAGAGAGAGAAATGATCCTGTCCAGCAGCCCCCGGTCCGAACAGTGTCCGAACATGGCCATTTGGGGCACTTCCCGGTGGAATTTTTTGATGAAATTTTTTGAGCATGTTCCTCATCGAGTCTAGTTTGTCCATACCAAATTTCAGCTCAAAATTCGTTCGGGAAGGCATTCAAATCAGTTTTTGAAGTTGACTGCGTCAAAATATACATATAAAAACGCAGTCAACTTCAAAAAATGATTTGAATGCCTTCCCGAACGAATTTTGAGCTGAAATTTGGTATGCACAAACTAGACTTGATGAAGAACATGCTCAAAAAATTTCATCAAAAAATTCCACCGGGAAGTACCCCAAATGGCCATGTTCGGACACTGTTCAGACCGGGGGCTGCTGGACAGGATCATTCCTCTCTCTCTCTCTCTATATATATATATATATATATATATAGAGAGAGAGAGAGAGAGAGAGAGAGAGAGAGAGAGAGAGAGAGAGTGCCGTTCTTGTCCAGCCGGCCTGACGGGATGCTCCGTCCGGCCGAGGGCATTTCAGGCACTTCCCGGTAGAATTTTTTGATGAAATTTTTTGAACATGTTCTTCATGAAGTCTAGTTTATCCATACCAAATTTCAGCTCAAAATTCAATCTGGAAGGCATTCAAATAATTTTGTGAAGTTAACTTGGCAGTTTATATGTATGAACTGTCCAGTTAACTTCAAGAAATTATTTGAGTGCCTTCCCGATCGCATTTTGAGCTGAAATTTGGTATGGATAAACTAGACTTCATGAAGAACATGCTCAAAAAATTTCATCAAAAAATTCGATCGGGAAGTGCCCGAAATGCCCTCGGCCGGACGGCGGTTCCCGTCAGGCCGGCTGGACATGAAAAGTCCTCTCTCTCTCTCTCTCTCTCTCTCTCTCTCTCTCTCTCTCTATATATATATATATATATATATATATATATATACACATACACACACAAATGTTCCTGTCAGGTATACCTGACAGGAACCGCCGTCCGGCCTCCTCCATTTGGGGGCCTTCCCGGTGGTATTTTTTGCTCAAATTTTTTGTGTAGGTTCTTCATCAAGTCTAGTTCATCCATACCAAATTTCAGCCAAAAATTCAACCGGGAAGGTCGTCAAATGATTTTTGCAAGTTAACTGGTCCGGAATATACATTTTTACATATTCCGGACCAGTTAACTTGCAAAAATCATTTGACGACCTTCCCGGTTGAATTTTTGGCTGAAATTTGGTATGGATGAACTAGACTTGATGAGGATCCTACACAAAAAATTTGAGCAAAAAATACCACCGGGAAGGCCCCCAAATGGAGGAGGCCGGACGGGGCTCCGGTGAGGTATACCTGACCGGAAGACTACTCTCTCTCTCTCTCTCTCTCTATATATATATATATATATATATATATATATATATATATACAAAAAAGATCAGGTCCAGCCCTCCCCGGTCCAGCCGCCGTCCGAACTCCGCCGTTTGGGGCGGTTCCCGGTGGAATTTTTTGATGAAATTTTTTGAGCATGTTCTTCATCAAGTCTAGTTTGTCCATACCAAATTTCAGCTCAAAATTCGACCGGGAAGACATTCAAATTATTTTTTGAAGTTGACTGCATTTTTATATGTATATTTTGGCGCAGTCAACTTCAAAAAATGATTTGAATGCCTTCCCGGTCGAATTTTGAACTGAAATTTGGTATGAACAAACTAGACTTGATGAAGAACATGCTCAAAAAATTTCATCAAAAAATTCCACCGGGAACCGCCCCAAACGGCGGAGTTCGGACGGCGCCTCCCGTCCCTCCGGCTGGACCTGATCACTCTTCCGGTCAGGAATTCCTGACCGGAACCGCCGTCCGGACGGCGGCGTTTGGCCGCCTTCCCGGTGGAATTTTTTGATGAAATTTTTATGGCATGTTCTCCATCAAGTCTAGTTTATCCACAAAAAATTTCAGCCAAAAACTCAATTGGGAAGGTCGTCAAATGATTTTTGCAAGTTAACTGGTCCGGAATATGTATTTTCCGGACCAGTTAACTTGCAAAAATCATTTGACGACCTTCCCGATTGAGTTTTTGGCTGAATTTTTTTGTGGATAAACTAGACTTGATGTAGAACATTCCATAAAAATTTCATCAAAAAATTCCACCGGGAAGACGGCTAAACGCCGCCGTCCGGACGGCGGTTCCTGTCCGGAATTCCGGACATGAACTTTCCTCTCTATATATATATATATATATATATATATATATATATATTAACTGAATTAAGTGAAAGTCCCGCCCAAATTTTAGGGGCATTTGGGTAAGTCCACGCAAAACCTTTCTTTTCTACGCTCTGTCAAACTCTACAAAGCATCGCCTATCCTACTAAACTCTTCGATGATATCGGAAGCATCTGGATATCTTCTGCTCATCTATCGCCCAGTCCGGATCTCCCTTTCGTTCGCTCATCCCCTAGCACCTCTGCTGTTCTGTCTTCAGGTGAAATGTTTCCGGCTTCAACGATTTCAATCTAGCTTTCCATCTGCATCATTCGATCCTTCTGACCGACGCCTTCTGATTGAGTCTTTCTTCGTTTCACATAAACTTCGCATCTAAAATACAAACTCTGCTTCTCCTATTCAATTTTGTAAGTCTCCTCCGCAAATGATTAGGGTTATGCCCAAGAAACGAAAAACAAGAGGCACGGCAGTAAAATTAATGAAGCTGAAACAACTCTCAAGTGATCTGGTAAGTACTACTTTCCTTATCATTGTTTTTACCTATCATTTCACATATACTTTCTGAAGGAATTACAAGAGATTTTGGGGTTCCTTGGGTATTACATATCAAGCTGAAGAATATGATCCCGTTTGTAAATATAATAATTTCATACTTTTCATCTACAAACAAAAACGAGGGTTAATGCTATTTATAAAAAAAACAAAGAAAGATCACGTATGCTCTTTATCAAACATGGATTATGCAGAATACCGAGAATACCGAAATCAGAGTACCTATTGTGAACTTATTTTCATATATCAAGTTTTCAGAATGTGGGCAGGCAGTTAAGGAAAAATAGTAAAATAATATGCCCCTTTGTGAACTTTTTTTAAATTTTTTTTAAAAAATAATAAAAAATAGTAAAAACCCATAAAAAATGAAAAAAATTATGGATACATTTCCCACCGCCATCCGCCGCCTCCCAGCACCACCACCTCCGATTGGTGAAATTTCTTCCACTTTTGGTAAAAAAATGCCATCTTTTTCTGAAAATGCCAAAAAGATGGCATAATTACTCTTCAATATGCCAACATTTTCATTGAATATGCCATCATTATGGCATTATTTAAAATGTTGACATATTTTTCTCCGGTGATGGGAGCTGGTGGTGCTGGGGGGTGGCAGGGGTGGTAATGTTTTTTTTTTAATTTTACGATTTATTTTTATTTTTTTTATTTTTTAAAAAAATATTTTTATTAATTTTCTATTATCTTTTTACGATTTTTAGTATTTTTTTCGATTTTTATTATTTTTGTATGATTTTATTATTAATTAAAACATTTCACAAGTTACAAGGGTATATTTGGCCAAACACACATAAATAGTCCTATTAAGGGAATTTAAAAATGTAGTCCTATTTGTGCAATTTTGCCACTTTTTAGTCCTATTTAGGGAATTGACTCTATTGCTTTTCACTAAAGTTTTAGCGTATGCTTTTGAATGGATTATTTACGGCTCTCATTCAATAAAATTTTCATATTGAATCACTAAAATACACCTAAACACTTATCTGCTAAGCCAGAAGTTTCATTTCAATCATATAGTGTTGCTGAAACTTGCATTAGTACTTCACATTGTCTTCTAACTGTGAGCCAAAAATGTAATTTAAGGAGTGAAAACATTGCAGTTTTATTTTACTTCCAACCACTCATTTAAGGGCTGCACTTATATATATACAAAGTTTTCTTTTGGGAAAATTGTCAAATAGGTCCTCGAACTTTCAAAAAAAGTCAATTAAGTCCTTCTATAGGAGACTCTGTCCGGTCGTCGCGATTTGGGCCGGTTCCCGGTGGAATTTTTTGATGATTTTTTTTTAGCATCTTATTCACCGAGTCTAGTTTACTCATACCGGGAGCGCATTCAAATTAATTCTAAAACGCAAAAATGCGTAGTTATCTTCAAGAATTAATTTGAATGTGTTCCCGATTGAATTTTTAGCTGAAATTTGGTATGCGTAAATTAGACTTGGTGAATAAGATGCTAAAAAAATTTCATCATAAAATTCCACCGGGAACTGCCCCAAATCGCGACGGCCGGACAGAACCTCCTATAGAAGGACCTAATTGACCTTTTTATGAAAGTTCGAGGACCTATTTGACAGTTTGACAGTTCGAGGACCTATTTGACCTATCCCTTTTCTTTTTGTTGATAGGGATATGATTCTTTAATGGATTTAGGTACTTTCTCAAAGTAATGAAATCAGGGTGTGCCTTGACCTTTCCATCATGTTATGCATTACAGTATTTTCTGGCCGGGTTCCATCTTACCCTCTTTTATGGCAAGAAGAAAAATCTTCACTTCTTATTATGTTCTTTCTTTTTATTAGGCCTAACATTTTTAACATGTCAATGCTAAGAAAAACTTATTATCTGTTTTTTCTTTTTCAGTAATCATTTAAATTCCATCTCTTCTTGGTTTTTTATAATAATTAATAGAACAACTGGGATGTGCGTGCAGGCTTATGTAAATTCTTTGGGGGTGGATTGAGACATTAAGTCATTAACCTCTAATGGCACCAAAGTAATTATATATATGTAGTTTCTTAAAATATGAGTGTGTGTATAATTTTAGAAGATCTACTTTGTACAACATATAGATTGTGTACATCTTATTATCATATGGAGCTTATGTGATTGACTTTTCTATATTGATCTAAAATGGGCTTTTAAACATCTCAAGCAGAGGTTGGGTTCTAATATTTTTTTACTGGAAACATTGAAGTAATATACCCAGAGAAAAGAGATCAATTATGTAATTCTGCCTTCCCTAGGAGGCTAGGATATACTGTTGGAGGTATTGGTCCTACCAAGGCCTCCCTTCCACTTTATTAGCTGAGGCTTGCACCCTATTGATTTACTCCCTCTTTGACACCTTTACCTTGGTATATTACCTGATCAATTATATACCTGGTTTGCTACCCCATTGCTTCTGTCCGCTGCAACCTGTTTTTTGGCTTAGCTTATACCCGTGAGTGTCCTTACCACCTTGTGACTGTCCTTGTTGTCTGCCCATAGGCTGGCAGCCTACTATAAGTCAACACTCTTCCTTGCCTTTGGGAATTAAGCCTGCGTGAGAAACAAACTGAGAGCAGTGTCTTCCTTCTTCCTCTTTGTGAGTTCCTTTGTGGTTAGAAGAAGAGAGTAAAGAGAATAGGTGTGCTATAGCTTCCCCTAGAGTGGTGTATGTGAGTAGTGTGTGTTGAAAGACCTGAGCCGGAGACGGAAGAAAAGATCCTTACAGTGGTATCAGAGAGAGGTTCGCCGTCTGCCGCCGTACGCCGCCGTCGCCGCCGCCGTCAGCCACCTCCGTCGATTGGAGCTCGCCGAAGGACTTGGAGCTGCCTGGTCGTTCGCACGATCTCACTGAGTTCCCTTTCTCACTGAAATCGAGCTCGCCGGAAGTTCAAACCACCATAGCCAGATTCCAGAAGCTCGCCGTCGCCTGGGAGGTCCGCCACCGCCGCCGAGGAATCTGCCGCCCCGCCATCGTCGTCTGGAAGCTTGCCTCCGGTCGCCTGGGTGTTCGTCGTTCGCCTGGCTGCTCGCTGGTCTTGTTCACAGACGGGTCGCAGAAGCCAGACGCAGGCTCTGCATCTGGAACGACGAAGAAGAAGGCCTGGACCCGTTTTATTTGCTGAAGCTTGAAGCTGGGTTTTGACTTGCTGACTTTGGAGTTTGGACTGCTGGAGCGGTCAAATTAAAGCTCTGGGCTATTGGGCCTTTCTTCTCTGGGCCGCTGGACCTGGGGAATTACTGGGGCTAAGTTGCTGATTTGTTGGACTGGAGCTGGGAGCTGGGAGTTGGACTGCCGGGCTGAAGCTACTGGACTGCTTGGACCTGGACTGCTGGGCTGGAGTTGATGGAACCAGTCAACTGCCGGTCAACCGCCAGTCAACCGCCGGTCAACGGTGGTCAACGCCGGTCAACGGCAGTCAACCCCTCCAGAAAAATCCCAATTTTTTAAATTGGGTAGGTAAGGTCGAAACGCTCTCCTAGGGTTTCGCGAAGGTAAGTTTTCTGTAAACTTCCTATTTGTTATATTCCGAATTTTAATTTAATTTAATTTATTCCCCCTCCCCGCGGGCCGCCGGTTGATTTAATCCCGGCCGCCAACCCCCCAGGTACGTACTAAACTTTCTCCTTTGTGGTAGACTGTTTTAGTTAATTAATTAAATTGCTTTGTGTTATTTAAATTAATTGTTATGCATAGGGGTGATTTATTGGGTGGTAGGGGTAGAATTAATTAAATTTAATTTTTCTGCCTGGAATTGTTTAAATTGCCAAAATGTCCATTTTTTTTTTGCTATGTGTTGCATGCTGCCCGGGGTTATTAAAGTGAATACTTTATAACCCGGGTTGGATTATTTTCTGTCATTTCTATCTGTTTAGCTTTGTGTTCCTTTGTGGTTGATACCATGGCTGCAAATCAGTATGGTATGCTTCCATTTAATGGAAAAACAGATTTTGATATTTGGAAACAGAAAATTAAGTGTGTTTTAATACAGCAAAAAGTTTTCAGAGCTGTCACTGGTATTTTCCTAGAATCAGAAGATAAGGCTAAGCAAATTGAAATGAACGAAACTGCTTGTTCTACTATTTACTTAAATCTGTCTGATTCTGTGCTTAGGAAAGTAGGTATTCTTGAGTCTGCTAAGGAGTTGTGGGAGAAATTGGATAGTCTCTATACTGATACCTCTTTGCCCGGGAAGTTGTTCTTACTAGAGAAATTCTTTAGGTTTAGGCTTGACCTGACTAAGGATATAGATGAGAACCTGGATGTGTTTAATAAACTGATACAGAATATCAAACAGGCAGGTGATAAACACATAGATGATTACACTCCCATAGTATTACTTAATGCCATTCCCGACTCTTATAATGATGTTAAGTCCGCTATTAAGTACGGTAGGGATGAGATTTCGTTAGACATTGTTGTGAATGGGTTAAGGAGTAAGGAATTAGACCTGAAGCATGCTAGGGGTAGTGCTAGTCAGTCCAGGGACTCCGGTGAGGCTATGTTTGTTAGGGGTAGATCTAAGGGTAGGTCTAAGAACTCTAAGCAAAATAGTCAGGGTAAGAACGCTAGTCAGCCTGGGAGGAAGAGGAGTAAATCTAGGAAGAGAGTGTGTTACAATTGTGGTAACACTGGCCATTTCATTAAGGATTGCCCCCACCCTAAGAAGACCGAGCATGCTAGTGTAGCTGTTGATAAATGTGACCTTGGTGATATTTTGATGGTTTGTGACCATGTTAACTCTGTGAGAAATTCCCTGTCTGAGCATGAATGGTTGATTGACTCTGGTTGTACCTATCACATGTCCCCCTTTAGAAATTTGTTTTCTACTTATGAATTATGTGATAGTGGCTACGTTTCCTTAGCTGATAATAAGAGATGCAATGTGCTTGGTGTTGGTGATATATGTCTGAAGTTTTCTTGTGGCTCTGTGTTTACCATTAAGAATGTGAGGCATGTCCCTGATTTGTGTCATAACTTGTTATCTGTTGCTGCTTTGGAGAGTAGTGGGTTACAGGGAAAATGGGGGAATGGTTGTATGAAAATCCTGAAAAACTCGCTTGTTTTGTTTAAAGCTGAGAAGGTGAATAACCTTTATGTGTGTCATGCTAAACCTTTTGCTGAATCTGTGAATGTTGTATGTTCTGATAAGACCTCTTTGTGGCATAATAGGCTAGGACATATGAGCAATAAGGGTTTAGATGTCATGCGTAGGGCTGGTTATTTTGGTAAGGACTCTGTGACTTCTGTGCCTTTCTGTGAATCATGTGTGTTGGGCAAGCAACATAGAGTCAGTTTCCCTCCTTCCTCTTACCCTAATCAGTCTAAGTGTTCGTCTGTGCTTGAATATGTTCATGCTGATGTTTGGGGTCCTGCCAGTGTTCCTACCCACGGGGGTAGGAAATACTTCCTTTCTATCATTGATGATTTCTCTAGGAAGGTGTGGGTTTGCCTTTTAGAACACAAGTCTGATGTGTTTGTAAGGTTTAGGGAGTGGAAAACCCTAGTTGAAAACCAAACTGGCAGGAAGGTTAAGACCCTTAGGACCGATAATGGGTTAGAGTTCTGTAATAAGGAGATGGATAAGTTGTGTGTGGATTGTGGGATAAAAAGGCACAAAACTGTGCCTTATACTCCCCAACAGAATGGGATAGCAGAGAGAATGAATAGGTCTCTGTTGGATAAGGTTAGAAGCATGTTAGCTACCTCTGGTTTGCTTAAGAAATTCTGGGGTGAAGCAGTGACTACTGCTGCCTATTTGGTTAATAGGTCCCCGTCTGTCCCTCTTGGTGGTAAGTGTCCTGAAGCCGTCTTTACCGGTAAGCCTCTTGATCTGTCTAACCTTCGGGTGTTTGGTTGTGCAGCGTATGCACACCAACAGGGTGACAAGTTGGATCCTAGGTCTAAGAAGTGTGTCTTCCTAGGTTATCCAGAGGGGGTAAAGGGTTACAGGTTATGGGATAGGAACCAGGTAGGCTTTAAAGTGGTCCTTAGCAGAAATGTGGTGTTCAATGAAACTGATTTTCCTTGCTTGACCGAGTCTGTTTCTAATCTTGAGTCTAGGTCTGATAGTACTCCTAGTGAGGTGGAGTCTGTCCCTGTTGCTGCTAGTCCTTTATCTGTTGATCCTGTTATCTCTGATGATATTGTTATGCATGATTCTGATTCCTCTGAGCATGATAGTCCCACCACCTCGAGTGAGGTGGAGCATTTGCATGATACTGAGCATGATTTGCATGATATGGGTGCTGAATCTGATTTTCATGATAACAATAATTTGCATGAGTTGCATGTGGAGCCTAGTAGTGATAATTTGAATGATTATCAACTTGCTAGAGATAGGAGTAGAAGGGCTATCAGGAGAACTGCTGATAGTATGCCTGATTATGCTTTCATTGTGCATGATACTTCTATGTTTGCATTTTCTGTGTTTGAATCCCTAGAGCTGAATGAACCCAAGACCTACCGTGAAGCCTTAGGTTCCAAAGAGTCTCAGAAATGGATTAGTGCCATGAAAAGTGAGATGGACTCTTTGAGAGTGAACCAGACTTGGACCCTTGTACCTAGACCCCCCAACTGTTCGGTAGTTGAGTGTAAGTGGTTGTTTAAGGTTAAGGAAGAACCTAGTGATGTTAGGTTTAAGGCTAGGTTGGTTGCGAAGGGGTTTACTCAAAAAGAGGGGGTAGATTATGCAGAAATCTTTGCTCCTGTTGTTAAATTCACCACTATTCGTATGATGCTGGTTTTAGTTGCTCACCATGACTGGGAAATGAAACAGATGGATGTAACTACTGCATTTTTGCATGGTGAATTGGATAAAACAATTTATATGACCCAGCCTGAGGGCTTTGTGGATCCCAAGAGAAGTGAGCATGTCTGTTTGCTTAGGAAGACTTTGTATGGCCTGAAGCAATCCCCTAGGCAGTGGAACATCAAATTTGATAAATGCATGATATCTTTGAAGTTCCAAAAATCTGTTTGTGATCATTGCCTGTATTTCAAGAATACTTCCTCTGTGCCTGTATTTTTGTTACTCTATGTGGATGACATGCTGATAATTAGTCCTTCTCTGAATGCTATTAAAGATGTGCAGAAATGTCTTTGTGCGAATTTTGCCATGAAAGACCTAGGTGATGCCAAGAGGATCCTAGGCATAAACATTGTTAGGGATAGGAGTAAGCGTACTCTTACTTTGAATCAGATTTCTTACATAGAAAAAGTTTTGAGTAAATTCAATATGTTATCTGCTTCTCCTGTTAATGTCCCTATGGCATCTCACTTTGTGTTAAGTAAGGATCAGTCTCCCAAGACTGCTCCTGAAATTGAGAAAATGAAATCTGTGCCTTATTCCAGCGCAATAGGGTCGGTGATGTATCTTATGGTTAGCACTAGACCTGATATTGCATATGCGGTTAGTTGCTTGAGTAGATATATGTCCAACCCTGGTTTGCCCCATTGGAATGCTCTTAAGTGGTTGCTTAGATATCTGATTTCTACTGTGAAGCATGGATTAATTTTCTCTAAATGTGCTAGTGGTATTGAATTGATTGGTTATGTTGATTCTAACTATGCAAATGATAGAGATAACAGGAAGTCGACCACTTCTTATGTTTTTACTTTGTGTGGCTCTTGCATTAGTTGGAAGTCTCAACTACAGCCTATTGTGGCCCTTTCTACCACTGAGTCTGAGTATGTTGCAGCCACAGAAGCGTTTAAGGAAGCCATCTGGCTCAAACGCCTTGTCTCCGAAATTGGGTTTCTCAAAAAGGGAGTTACCATTTTCTCGGATAGCCAATCGGCTATCCAACTTTGCAAAAATCCTGTATTTCATGATAGAACTAAGCATATTGATGTTAGGTTCCATTTCATACGTGATATTGTTGATGCAGGTGGAGTCAAGCTGTGCAAGATCCCGTCGGAGTTTAACCCCGCGGATATGGGTACCAAGTGTCTTTCTGCTGAGAAGCACTTGTCCTGTAAACGCGTGTTAAACTTTGACTGTGGATAACTGTGGGTTGCCTAATAAAGTGTTTGCCCGTTGTGTCTGTTGATATTCCGGGTGACCCGGCGATGATGAGTCTTGTCACAACTTTGTTTTGTTACTCTACACCACCTAGGACCAATAAGGTGGAGAATGTTGGAGGTATTGGTCCTACCAAGGCCTCCCTTCCACTTTATTAGCTGAGGCTTGCACCCTATTGATTTACTCCCTCTTTGACACCTTTACCTTGGTATATTACCTGATCAATTATATACCTGGTTTGCTACCCCATTGCTTCTGTCCGCTGCAACCTGTTTTTTGGCTTAGCTTATACCCGTGAGTGTCCTTACCACCTTGTGACTGTCCTTGTTGTCTGCCCATAGGCTGGCAGCCTACTATAAGTCAACACTCTTCCTTGCCTTTGGGAATTAAGCCTGCGTGAGAAACAAACTGAGAGCAGTGTCTTCCTTCTTCCTCTTTGTGAGTTCCTTTGTGGTTAGAAGAAGAGAGTAAAGAGAATAGGTGTGCTATAGCTTCCCCTAGAGTGGTGTATGTGAGTAGTGTGTGTTGAAAGACCTGAGCCGGAGACGGAAGAAAAGATCCTTACATATACCAACGGTGTTTATAAAATTTTACTGGTCCTCTAGACCTCCTTTTAGCCTTCAAATTCTTTTGGTGGACTCACGCTTTAAGGCATGCAAACAATTCTGGTGCAGTTTGCAAGCTTAATTTCATTAATTTGTCAACTCCCACTTATGCAGACTATTTTGAAAGGTCATACGACTCATACTATTAACTCTGGACAGCATCCTAGAAGGCCCTGTTACTCAGCGTAGAATACCCCGTTGATAAAGTTCAAGTTAAAATAATCTAGATAATGCAAGTGAATCATGGTTTACCTTTATTTTAGGAACTGAAATATCGTATACCGAGTATGTGTTCATAATTCTTACACCTCTTATTTATTAGGCATCGGAAGAGTTGCTCGTGATACGGAGTACCCAGGTGCATCCTTTTTTTTAACACAGAATAACACCAGAATTTATATAGCTTAAAGTTGTTATAGTCCAAGAGGTCCAGAAAATAGCAAAGGCCATCATCATAAATAATATGGCGGAAGAATTGAATTGTCTCTGAACTTGGTTCGTAGGCCAATTACAATTATGCACAACTAAAGGGGCCAAGAGGAAGCAGTTCAACCCGAATATGTTCAGAGAATGGTTGGGTATTACTTGGCCTGCTGATGTACTCATGTACCCTCTTTTTGTACTCCTGCCTCCTGGGGTCCTGAATAAAGAGATGATAACCTTCAGTCTGAGCTGGATCAGCAGGATTGGCAGATCTAGCAAGTCTTGAATACCAACGAGATTCTGCTCATAGATACAGGGATCGCTAACATAGCCGCGTTTTCCGTTCCGGATCGCGCGTACCGGATCGCGCGTACCGGATCGCGGTACAGTTGCGTGCCGGTCGCTTCTGGTTCGCGACTCCGGTACGGCGGATTCCGGTTGCCGTCCAGGTGGTACGCTGTTTCCGAGTTGTGGTTCGCACGTCCCCTCCAGCGTCCGACAAACATCAGTCCAAGAGTCGCGTCCGTGAACTGCTTTTTTCCAAGCGACACAAGGCCGACGACAAACTCGGGAGTCTCTCTTTGTCGTTCGCACTTCAAAGATCGAAACGATGGCTCACCGCTCAATCAAAGTCTGAAACGACTTTTTATTTCTTTTAGATTTCACAGTTCGAACTTCAAAAAGCTAAACGAATTTAAGGATTGAAACGAAGTTGCTTTTTCCAGGCCACACAATCTTTAAAGACTTCGTGGTTCAAACCTTTGTATTTAATTATGGTACACAATTTCCAAAAAAAAATGGTACACATAAGCAATTGATTAAAGACTGACTCATTGAAGTGAATTGTTTAATACTCCGTATTAAATTAATTATATTTAATTAATTGTATTTATACTTGGTAAATTGTACTACACATATGTTTATGGCACATCGTACCATAACAAATGGGACAACGTTCCGCGTACCGAAATAGCGTACCGAAGAAGCCTACCCCCTCACGTATCGGATTTCTAATATTCGCGATCCGCGTACCATGGCGTACCGCGATCCATGTGACTATGATTCTGCTTAACTGTGTTGGTCTCCACCCAGAGTCTTCAATAAGGATTCAGAGGCAAACTGTCCCAAAAATATAGACATTAGGGTGGAAGAAACCCTGTGGAAATCTACACTTCAGTGGTTTGCTCGGGTAGTCCTCACTGAAGTTCATTGTAAGTGGATAATAACCACCATCCCATTTGGTACTGGACTTTCCTGGAAAAGTGCAGTGCCAAAACATCAAGGTACTGATCCGTCAGGAAGTGTCACTGGGAACAGTTTTGATGGCACACTACGGTGACAAAGAGACGGGCGGAGACTTAAGTTGAGGGTGCGGACTCCCTACCGCATCCTACTATTACTTTCACATTATTTCCTTTTGAGGTAGTCTAGAATTATACGGAGAATTTTTTATTACTTTTGAACATAAATTGGAGAAATTTATGAGAAATAAGACACTTTACATAATTACTCCGTATTATTTTTTCTTGTGTATTTTGAAAATTCCATGTTGCCTTTACTGTTTAATAAAATGTTTGGGAGTGGTATATATAGCTCTGGTATCAATTAAAGAGTTGAACGACTTCATTGGTAATTTTTTAATTTTGTTATCCCGTGCAACGCACGGGTAAAATACTAGTAATACTATAGTAGCTTAGTAGGCAACAAAGTGCCACATATCAAGCTTAAAACAGGGCTTGCAACCTGGAGGGCAAGCTGAGCAACCCACGGTGTAAATTTGTCAAAAGTTTTGGGGTAGGTTCTAGGGAGATGGATTAGACCGGCGAATAGGGGTGTGCATTAACTGGGTCGGACCGTAATTTAGACATGAACTAGACCGGAATGGACCGGTCCGGATCGGACCGATATTAACCGGTCCGGGTTTCGGTCTTTAGAATTTTAAGATTCCGGGTTCCGGTCCGGTCCGGGTCAAACCCGGAAAAATACAGGTCTGGACCGGTGGCCCGTTAAATTACTTTCCCAAAAAATACTTCGTTCCATAGGAACTGTAACCGGTGGCCCACTAAAAAAATACTTCATTCCATACACCGCATCCGTCCATCTCCTTTCTTGTCACTTGAGTTTCAACTGGTCTCTACACAAATAACACAAGGGAAAAGGTGCAAATAGGCCCATGTACTAACAAAAAAATGTCAAATAAGCCCTTATTTAGGAGGCTTTGTCCGGCCATCGCCATTTGGAGTGGTTCTCGGTGGAATTTTTTGATGAAATTTTTTGAGCATCTTATTCATTAAGTCTAGTTTACTCATACCAAATTTCAGCAAAAACTTCAATAGGGAAGGCATTCAAATGAATTCTTGAAAATAACTGTGCTGTTAGAAGCGCAGTTATCTTCAAGAATTCATTTGTATGCCTTTTCGATTGAATTTTTAGCTGAAATTTGGTATGAGCAAACTAGACTTGATGAATAAGATGCTCAAAAAATTGCATTAAAAAATTCCCCCAGGAACCACCCTAAATGACGACGGCCGGACAGAACTTCCTAAATAAGGGCTTATTTGACCTTTTTTTGTTACTACATGGGCCTATTTGCACCTTTTCCCATATTGAACTTGACATCACTTCTTCTATTCTTCTTCATGTTATAATTCTATCACAGGTTTTGCATTATTTTAATTGTCGTGTACACTTGCTGAGTTGCTAACATTTGAAGTGTTTGAATGGTATACTTTTTTGTTGTTGTAAGTTGTGCTGTTTGCACTTTGCACTCACATTTAATTAATTAATTAATATTCACTCAAATTTAGTATTCAAATTGAATAATAAAAAATTCGTAAAAGACAACCTTGTACTGATTCTGTTTTGGAGTTACTAAACAACAACATAAAAGCTACATACGTTGTTAGAAGCATGGAAAAATATGTCTTTTTTTTTTATCTTAAATATGTTTTGGAGTTACTAAACAACAACATAAAAGCTACATACGTTGTTAGAAGCATGGAAAAATATGTCTTTTTTTATCTTAAATAAAACAGTAAAAGGCGTTTTTGATGCAGTACCTTTTCTATAGGTGTGCAATATGATCCATGGTTGTACGTACTTTATACGAAGTATATTTTATTATATTCTAAAGTTTGTTTCTTAAGTTGCAGCCTGCAAGAGTTCAAGACTACAAATACAGTCTGCTAGTTTGTAGTGTAGTCTGCTAGTTGTAGTGTGCACCAGGGAAGTAAACATTTATATGCTAATAATATTGATAAATGAATTAAACATTTACTCCGTAGATTTGCACATCAGATTATTGTTCGAAACTAAAAGTCTATGATATTATGTCTGTTTTAAAAACCGGGTCAATTAGGGTCAAAACCGGACCGGACCGGACCGGAAAATTCAGGTCCAGGTCGGTCTGGACCGGTTAGTAACAGGTCCGGTTTTTGGTCCTCATAAAATTAAGATTCCGGTCCTAACCGGTTCCGTTCCGGTCTGGTGTGGTCCGGTTTTGGACCGGTGCACACCCCTAGGCGGCGAAGCCTAGAACCTGGTTTATAAAAAAGGTTGGGATTACATAGTATAATTTAGAAAAGATAACAAGTGAATTTAGTTCCACTTTGGAGCAAACAAATTGGATGCTGCTGGTAGATGAAATTCCATCCAGTGGGGAGGAGGATCAGAGTTTGCTGGTGAGAGGTGGAGTGCCAATGGGTGCATCTCTTGATCTTTTCTCCACCGCTCGAGAAAGCTGCTTGACCACATCTTTGGGTAGACGCCTTGGCTGACTCACCCACAGTCCTCCATCCACTATCAATGTTGTCCCGTTCACGTATTTCCCTATCATCAAGTTATAATTATCATATTGTCACAACATCTAATTGAGCTGTTTCATTAATGTTTTTTTTTTAATATAAAGCAGTCAGTTATTAACGTACAGTCTGGTAGCTTATTCAAGCAGAATGATAGTTATGCCTCATTGGGCCATCGCAGCAAGGATCAAAGCGGTGCAGATGTGCACAATGAAGCGGGGCACAACCACACCACATGGCCCAACATAGCTTTATTACTAGTTTCCTATTCATACAATGATTGTTATTTGCTTGTTTGGTTGTAACCAAATTCTCATTACCTTCAGTTATAGCCCCCTGGTATTGATTAATTAACTACATTAAGAAGAATGAATTGGTGTGTGCCTTGACAAGGTGGAGCAATGGATTACCTCCAACTTAAGCTTTAGCTTACTCTCTCTCCCTCTCTCTTGGGTACATATTAATATATTCATATATCCTAGCTCATCAGCACGTTCCTTGCTTCTACAGATTCACTCTCATGAGTCTCGTCCTTGGACGAAGATGATGGCGCATGTTCTTAGTACAGAACTAGCTTTTGACTCTACTTATTGGGGCTGATGGTTGCTACCTAAAATAGAGGCTCAATAAAAAAAGCCACTTACCAGCACAGGATGTAAGGTAGAGAGCAGCCATTGCAATATCCCACTTCTCCCCAAGTCTATATAGAGGCATAATGCTGTCACGGTGGTTACTACTATCGTAATCATTTATCATCATCTCTTGAGGCGCAAGTTTTCTCATCCCAGGTGTGCCCTCTATGGGACCAGGTGCTATCCCATTCACTCGTATGTCATAGTCGGTTCCCCACTCTAGTGCCAGATTCCTAGTCACCGCATCTACCGCAGCCTGCCCAAGGTAAGCTAGGTTCAGAAACCACAACATGCTTTGTTGTTTAAACCCTTCGCTTTACAAAACATCTACGGAGTATCTAGAAGTAATAGTAAAAAAGGTAATAACCAAGAAAAAAGGAAAGAAAACCAGAAAAGTGCGCACCTTTGCCGCTGCTACATGGATTTGATAAAAGGTTGCAGTGTAATGCAAAGTGGCACTAATGTTTATGATGGTCCCGCCTGAAGAAGATGAACTTCTCCCTGGACCTCCTTTCTTCAGATACTTCATTGCTTCATGGCACATTGTGAACGTGCCCACTGCATCAATATCCAACACTGCACGCACCATGTATATACCACTCATCTATTTTAATACATCATCAAACTTTCTCTTTCCTCAAAAATACATAAATACATCAATACTCGAACCCGTAGTGTATAACAACAATAATAGATGTAGGGTTGCCTTAAATGAAATGATAAACAAACAAACAAATAACTTGACCTGTTCGAAAACCATTGGGAGATAAATCCTCGGGGGAGGAGAGAAAATTGCCAGCAGCAGCATTGACCAGAATGTCAAGCTTCCCAAAATGTTTGACTGTAGACTCCACCACTCTCTTTGCATCTTCCTGTACCCGGACGTCTCCTTGAAACCCAACTGCCTGATCATATCAATCATCAATCAATCATCATTTACCCCAGTGCCGCAAAGGCTCCCACCTACGGTGGGGTAAGGGGGGTCGGATGTACGAGTCTTACCCCTGTACTAAAGCTCATAGACTGTTATAATTATTGTTGTTAAAATTAGAAGAAACACACACTTCTTTCGTCTGGTTAATAATTACTTAGCCTCTTCCCTCCCTCCCAAATTATGCATTTTGTTAGAAATACATTTGTGGTTCCTAGGGTAGGAAAATACTGAAATTTGTGGTTTTTCCTTTTTACCATATTGAAAAACACCGAATTTACCTAAAATTTAAGTATATCTACATATTCGGTAAGGTATGATACCATACCGAATTACTTCAGTATGGTATTGATATATATTTTGAAAATAAAAAATATACCGATATGCCGTAATACTGAAAGTCCTATTCAAACAATTTCTTTAAAATTATAAAATGACTATAAACACAACATCATCTTAGGGATAAATGATTTAATTTATATCCATTTTGTTTGAATAATTTTACCTTTTTGTTAGAGATCACTATCGACTAATTTATATCTATATTGTTTATGTTACTTATAGGAGAATGTGTTGTTTTTAACACGTGGAACTGCTTAAATATAATTATACGGAGTAATAAATTAATAATTATTGTTCAATATTGAATAGGACATCAATAGGTTATTATGTGTATTTTATAATTTTTTAATAATGTTTTTAATGTGTCCATTAGTCCATGATAACTGTTGAGAGTTTACCATTGAGTTAACCTTTACCAAAACTTCCGTATACCCAAATACTGTATACCAAAATTTTGGTAATGTAACCATATGCAATTTTTGGAAGTTTCAATACCGCAAAAATATTCAATATGCCGTACCGAACCAGCCCAAATAAATTTTCCGCCAGACTTCTAGTCTTCAAAATACTGGACCCAGTATATATGATCGTAGTTAAGAAGATAAGCAAAACAAGTTTAACTGTGATATAAAATGGAATGAATTGTGGGAAGGGGGGCAGTATTACTCTTAATAGTTGTATAAAATGACAAAATGAAGTTAGTATAAACTAGAAACATAGATATATAATGGGTAGCAGTATGATGTAAGGACATGAAAGATGTTTTACGGGGATTCCGAGGGATTGAAGGAAAGAAACGGCGGATTGAACGACGGAGGAACGGCGGCCCATGATAGCGACGGAGGCACCATGCTTGCCGAACTGGGTGGAGATTTCGAGACCGATGCCGGAGCCACCTCCGGTTAGCAGTGCTACTTTTCCACTGATGACATCCGATCGAAAAGGTGAGACGGACGAGGACGACTCCATTTTTCAGATCTCTACTTTCTTCATCGTATCAAGTTCTGCATTTATTGTGCGTGGATATGTAAGAACAGTTTGGTAAAGATGGAAATTGGGGGCATTTGGTAGCCCCAATTTTACGAATATATCCATGAATCCACTTTTCTTGGTCATCTTGATGATTGCTCCAAAACCAGCTGACCGGGATTGACTTTGGTACTGCAATCCGTGCGCAATAATTAGTTTGATGGAAATTATAGGATACTTATTTTTTAGAAACTTTCACGCACTACATAATTTATTTTACACGTAAATTATTGTTTTCCTAAACTTTGCATACAATCATTTCGTATGTAAAACTTAACATGTAAACTATCAAACAAGTCATTACTAACATTTTATTTCAAACCGCTAATGAAAACAGTTGGTTAAAAAAAGCTAACGGAATCCACTATTAACAATCAATTGAATCAACCGGCTATGAGCTAGCAGACAAATAATATTATCAAATGCAATCGTTGACATTTGTAGACCTCAACTTTTGATGACAAAGTCAAAGTAAAATGACTGCAAAAGTCAATTTCACAATACTTAGAATATGAAATGTCGGGAATTCTAAAGTCGAGAATCAAAATTTTATCACTCACAAAAAATTGACCAATTTGTCACTAGATTTTTTTATTTATCAATATGTCTCAAGTGATTTTTTTATCAATAAGTCAAACGACCTTTTTATTATTATTATTATACCAATTTGGTATTTGACCGCCTTATCTTTGGACTTTGAATACCTTTGCATAAAAAATGCAAACTTCAAATACATCACACCAAACACTGGTACCCCCCTTTTTCCCACTTCCACTCTCTTCAATCCTCATATACATTTATTAAGCATTCACCAAAATTGGGTGCATTTCTTCATTTTTTCAAAATTTCAAATTTGATAGTTGAATTGGTTGATTAAATGTGTTTTGTGGTTATTTGGTTAAAATGATTGACTACCCATCTATATCTATATATCTATATATCTATATTGGGATAGTTTGACTTTGCACCCCATTTTATTGTCAAAATTGGACTTTGCACCCCGTCTATAAGAATCTTTGTTTTTGCACCCCAATCCCATGCGAAAAGACAAAAATGTCACTCCATTGACAATTATGTTGGCCTTCAACATATTCCTGATCGAGGGCATTTTTGTCTTTTCATATGGGGTTGGGAGTGCAAAAACAAAGCTTTTTTACTTTTACTTTTTGGACGGTGGGTTTGATTATTACTACCTCCGTCCCATTTAGGCTCTGTTTGCAAGTGATTGTGCTTAAATAAAAGCACTTTTTGGGAAAAGTGATTAGTAGTAAAAGTTGGTAGTGTTTGGTAAAATAAGTGCTTTTTGTGTAATAGAAAAAGTAAAAAGTAGATTATACACGAAAACCGAGAAAGTAAAAGTTGGTATTGTTTGATAAAATAAGTGTTTTTTTCTTAAAAAAAGACAAAAGCACTTAAATTAAATGTTTGCAAACAAAGCCTTATATTGGGACGGAAGAGGGTGACACGGTTATTAAGAAAAGTGAGTTTGTGTGGTTGATATTAATGGATAAAGTAAGAATAAAGTAAGAATGATTTAGAGCCACACAAACTTTGCCAAATATGGTATGTGACAATTTAAGTGAGACTTCCCGAAAAGGTAAAACGAGACAATATAAATGGGACGGAGGGAGTAATAAATATATAGTACTCCCTCCGTTCCATTTTGGTTGTCCTACTTTTCTTTTTGGGTTGTCCCAAAATGAATGTTTTGTTTCATTTTTGGCAAAAAATGTGTGGTCTTTATCATTTTACTTTAGTCTACTCAAATCTCAACCACAACTTTTACTTTTCAATCACTTTATTAATAACTGTGCCAAATTAAAAGTGGACAACCAATATGGGACGGAGGTAGTACACGTTAAGATGTGTAGTGCGGTTAGGCTAACCGCAACCCATCTCCGTCAATAAATCAAATTCTCCATCTATTTATACTTATTCACTCAGTCAATTTAATTTTTACTGCAATCCAACACCGTCAATATATTCAAACAACAAAGTTTTTTTAAATAAAGCCTTAATTTTATTGTTACACATCAATATATTTTCCAATTTTTTATTGTCAATAATTATGACTTGAAAAGTGAAACGTTCCGATATAAAAATAAATAAATTTGGAGTTAAATTTTTTAACGGTTACTTCAGACCTATTTTTAAAACAAAAATGATTGTAAGATGTAAAAAAATATTTTAATCATGGAATCATTTTTTTTTTGGAAGAATTCGGCTTATATTAATAACAGATAATTCAGAGTATGGGTCAAGTGACAAAAAGAAATCTGACAACCGTTATCCCGCGAACCAGACTCGGAATTAATCACCTCCAGAGAAGCAATATAATTCGCTCATCCATAAAATGGGAAACCTAAAGCAAAAAACGGTCACCATATTCCTCTCATCCCCCACATCTAAAATCAACGTCTTACAACCAGGAACACAAAAGAAAAAACAAACAGCATAACAGAAATAACAATCACTGAAACAACAAATAAAACAAAAGATAAAAAACTTCCGTCGCAGCCAGAACACTCGAACAGTCCCTCGGACGTGCGGCCTCCATACTCCTGTCAGTAGCTTCGGCGGGCTTAAAGAGCAAAGCCCGCCTCCTCCCCGTTTTTTGTTCCATCCAAATCCATATTGTCCTCTTCTTGCTTCTTCTTTGTCTGAGTCTTCCAGACCTTCCTTCTCTTCGAAACCTCATCCTTTGGCTCCTCCCCTCCTTCTTTAGTAAAGCTTTGGGCTGATTCAGTCGTTGCCTCTTTCTCTTTTTCTCCAATCTTTTCTTCTGATTTAAATGCCCCTGTATATCCACCCGTTATGCCAGAGCTCGATGAACCCTCCAATAACAGCTTATTACCTCCTGTTGGGCTGGTCTTCACCCCGCTTCCTGCTCTAAAATGGATTCCAAACCTTTTTTTTCTAAAACTAGGCCTTCTTCATAATTTAAGGGACATCAATTATCTGAGTGTCCAATAAGGCCACAAATGAAGCAAAAGTTGGGTAGCCTTTCATATTTGAAATCTACCCAAAAACTTTTACCATCTTTTTTCAGATTTGTCCCCTTCTTCAGCGATTTATCCATCTTAATAAGAACCCTAACCCGCATATATAGATCTAATTTATCACTTTTCTGATTATCATTTCATTTTCATTTACCCACAGTGCCGCAAAGGCTCCCACCTACGGTGGAGTAAGGGGGGTCGGACGTACGCAGTCTTACCCTGTATTAAAGCACAAAGAGACTGTTTCCGGATGACCCATAGTGAAAATCGCGTCCAAAATTGCATGGATTGACTGCTGCTTCATATCAAAGAAGCGCAGACACTTTTCTGATTATCATCATATTTAATAAATTCCCCTATAAAATTTCCCACACGTCTGGCAGTACCCAAATTAACAAGACTATAGGGAACATTATGGATCTGAACCCAAAACTCAGTCTGATTTAAAATAATTTTGTGTGGGATATCATCAGACATAATTTCTTTTAACATTAAGAGACTACGCTCAAACTGCCACAGACCTCCTTCCAGCACATGCATCATATCAAAACAATGATTGAAAGTAAATATGTACCTCTTTTCACCAATTTCTTTTACCGACATACCCTTCCCTGATCGCCAATTGTTTATACCGATCAACAGGGGCGGATCCAGGAATGAGGGGTGGGGTGGGCTAAGCAGTAAAAATTTTCGTTAAATTGCATACAAAAGGTTTAGCTTAGGACTGATAGTTATTGAACTGAGTTTTTTTTCGAACTACTCGAGTTCGATCGTGATTTCGAATTTAATTTAATGACCAAAGCTTAACGAGCTTCAATCTCGAACACAGGCTAAATTTTAGTTTAAATAGTTTGTTTTTACAAAAAAAAACCGGCCGTTATTTTTTTGAGTTTGAATAGTTATTCAAGCTGAATTCGAGCATAGTCATGTTCAGTTCGATCTGGACTCGAGCATATTCATAACTTATAAATTATAGAAATAAACTATATACTACCTCCGACTTTTATTAAGACTAATTTGACTTTTCAAGTCAAAGAAGTTAAACTCTGAATGACTATATATTTATACAATAAAATTGATAATATGAAAATGAATTGGAAATGTTCTTTGTTAAAAAGTTTATCATAAAAGTATAAATTTAGTAAGTTTCACATTAATACATGAGTTAAAATGATGGATCAAAGTTTACCATCTTTGAGTAAAGAGTCAAAAATGGCTAAATAAAATGAGACAGAGGTAGCATATCTAAAATTTAAACGTTTTTAGCGTGATTTATAATTTTATTATTGATTATTAAAGATTTTAGTATTTATTGATATGAATTAAAATACTTCTATAAAAGTATAAAACTAATAAGTAAAAATAGTCGATGTACATAAAACTAATAAGTATTCCCAATTTTAAAATTGAATTGAGATTTTGAATCCATTCTTACATGCCTAAATAGTAAATACATCGTTCTCTATTCTTTAATTGCATTATAAGTAAATCATTTTCTAATCTTTAATCATTATAAATTTATAATAATAAATAAAAACTATTTTACTATCTACTGAAAAAATTCAATTAATAATCAAATAGAATTACAAAGTTGGTAGGCTTGGCCTGGGCTAGACATTAGTTTTGAGGTGGGCTAGAAATTAAACCTATACCTATAATAATAAAAATAAATTGGGCCGGGCTAGGCTGGAGCCCACCCCTGCCCCAACATAGATCCGCCCTTGCCGATCAATAAAGTGTTCCATGCTCCTCCGCCGTCGCACTGCTGCTGGAAACCGCCTCGGAAGCTCTACGCTATCGGAACTGCACCGTCCTCCTAGCTTGATCGTCGAACTCGCCCCTTCCCTTGCTTCTGAAACCGAAATAAATAGTCAAAACCACCTCCTTCCCCACCAATCCGATTGTCCACAGTCCTGACTCCAACAACACCGCCCAAATCACCCAACCAACACACCCTTCGAAAGACTCGAAGGCGGACGAAAAAACTAGGGGTTGCGTGAGGCAAACCTAGAGAGAGAAAGAGAGACGGACGATGGCATGACAACTCATGGAATCATATTTTTAACACTTGAAAT